CACCACCTGACAGGGGTACTTAGACGCCAACTCCAAGACCAACAAAAACCAATCCAGCACACCTACAGCGCACCCATCCCACCAAGTGAGGCCACCGGAGAGCCAACAGCCCCAAACCCAGCACACCCAGCACACCCGAATAACATCGCCAAGTCTGGGACCTTGCGCGGTGTATTGGCGTTCCAGACTGTGCTGTCTAGAGCCAGGCGGGGTCTTTGCCTTCTGCCATGACGATGTTGAGTTTGCCAAGGCCAATGCACGCGATGCTTTGGCGTCTCCCATGAATGGCCTGATCCACCCTGCTTGCAGTTCTTGTTGGAGCAGGCCTTGCAACACGTCTGGATTGTGCTCTGCTTGTGTCCAGTTCCCCTGGCAGTGTAGGAGACGCACGCCATCAAGTTCATTGTCATCGAGAGATGCCTGCTTGGGCTGCCATTGATGGCTCGTAGGGATCTCTTGCGAAACGCCTGCTGGCACGCCTTGCTGCAGCAGGTGTGGCAACTGGGTCTCAAGGTCTTGGTGCCTGGGTGCACATGCTTGGAGAAGCCGGAGTTGATGTACTGCAACCAGTGCCTGGCGACGTCCTGCAGTTTTGCTGGCGCTGGAAGGATGGCGTTGCTATTGCGGCCGGCCCCATCGCAAAATGTGCTGGCCTGCGACGCACGACAGGCTCGGGAAGGAGGTTGGCAAAGTCACGGATGGCGCCGCCCAGACCCAGTGCATGACAGTGCATGAGGTGCTTAACGGCGCCATAAGCCGAGCGAGCTGTGCTGCTAGAGACGGCAGGTATTCCGCTGTAAGCGAGCTGGCGTAGGTGTGTGGCCTTGCGTGAGGCCTGCGAGTGCGAGCATGTGCATGCCAGAGAGGCCACGCTTGGAAAGCTTGCGCAAAAGGCTCACGACTTGTACGTGCTATATGTGCGCAATGCGCCGCGAGCTCGCGGAGTAGAGTGACGTTGTCTGGCTGAAGCCATGCCATTGACGAGCGGGGCTGCTCCAGTCCGGTCTGCCCCCCCGATTCCTTGATGCGCCTAGAGACCTGGCGGGACCTTGCGTGAATCTCGGCGCTGGCGTCTACTCTATGTTGCTTGTCCTTTGACAGGCCTGGGACTCCGTCCATGCAGTTGGCATCTGTGCAGGACGTGCGGTCGAAACGAAGGCAAAGGGTTTTGCATGGTTTTGTTGCCACGCTTCAATTGCAGATTCTGCATTGCCTCTGTGAGAGCCCCAACGGATTTTCATCACGGAACTTGTTTTGCGCTTTGCCGCCTTTTTGCCACCGCCTTTGCCTTGCTTGCCTTTACCACCTTTTTGCAGAGGGGGCTTGGCACGGGGTTGAAGCAGAGCGTGCATGTCTGCTGATGCTTGTCATTTCGTGCAATGCTCCGTCCAATGACCAACCTTCTGCGTGCAAGCTCGCGATTTCATTCCAGAGTTCCTGGGTATTGACCGTGCGGAGCCCGGTGTCTGTGCCCAGGGGCTGGGTGCAAATATCAGAAACCTTGTTGTCGAAGGCTTCGAGTGTGGCAAGGTGTGCGCCCTTGCAAAACGCAATGGCGTTTCTGAAGATTTGCTGGGGGCGTGCGAACCATGCTGGGCTCAGGTGTGCCCTGTCGATGCTGATTTCAGGCGTTTTAGCAAAGAGCGCGCTGCTCACGAGCTGTGCTTCTGTGCGGAGCGCGCGGGACGCGCGGGTAGTTTGCCTTGAACGTGCTCTGCATGCGTTGCGCTGCCTCTGCGTCAAGGAGTGAGGGCGCATGCTCTGCCCACACGTCGGAAGCTAAAGTGGAGTCCGGTGTGGAGGGCCCGGAAGGCAAGGAGGCGCCATCGCTGTGCTTGGTTGCTTGCTTGCGCGTGTCTCAGGCACGGCAGAGTCGTGCAACTGCTGGGCTGTGATCTGGGTCCGTGACGCGAAGCTGCTCATAGCGAAGAAGGCAACTTAGGCACGAAGCCGGAAAGATCTTGTGCGTCAATGTATGCATATGCAAAGTCTGAGAGGCTGGCGACGCGAAGAAGTCGATAAAGACCTGACAAGTTGTGGCGCGGAAAACGCTAGCAGGCACGCTCTGCGCCTGCCCTGCGTGTGTTTATGGGCTCTTTGCATGAGATAACAAGCGATGCTGGGCCAAGGTGTGCTCCGCATCGTGCTCGCAGCTTGGCGCTTGCCAACGTGCCCATGGAGGGCAATGCAAGGATGTATTGCTCAAGTGAATCCTGTGTTGGTGCATGCGTGCAACCCCACAGCCCGGCCGGCTTGCTCGTCTGGTGGGTCCTCCTCTGATTCGCTTGCAGATGAGGCATGGTCTGGCGCAAGCTGCTCTACTATCTCTGCCTCCCTCCTTGAAGAGGGGGCTGCACGGGCCATGTCCTACTGAGGCTGACGATTCATCTGCAGGCGGCGTTGCAAGGTCGATGTATTCCTCTTCAGAGTGAGGGCGGTCGAGCGATGCCTGTGCTGATGCGTTCGTGTGTTCATGCCGAGAGGCGAATCGGCACCAGGGGCCGTGCAGAATGTCGCTGTGTGTCAACTGCTCTGCTGGTCGGGAAGAGGGGACTTGCAGCGGAGGCTCGGGCACTGGTGCACAGCCGCCACGGGCCATTGAGCGTTGCTGGCGCCAGTTGCCTGCAAGTGCTGCTGTGATCTCACGCTGGATGTGGAGGCTGGAGAAAGTATCATTCCTGCTATACAGGCGGGTTTAGGGTTTTGGGTTAAGGGTTTAAGGTCTAAGGTTAAGGTTTAGGGTCTAAGGCTTAGGGTAACATAGACCTATATATGGGGCTGATGCTGGTGTTGTATAGGGCTTAAATCGGGCTCTGCGCGTGGGTGCCCTAAGCCTTGAACTTGTATGGCGATGATATGGCAGGTTGCATGTATTGGAGAGATTTACTCTGAAATACAAGCTTATTCCTCCTCGCTCCATGAAAGGGGCTTCAACCTTCAAAGTGTATGGCTTCCAACTTGGAGGTCCATGGCCACTGCAACCCAATTATAACTGTAGTTCCAGCCCAACTATACGCCCCCTAAGTTACATAGGATATACTGCCAAATCGCACACGTATGGTTATGCTGTTTTGGTGCGTAAACCCTACACCCTAAACCTTAACGTCTTTTACTCGGACAATAAGGGGGCTTCTAGAGTCGCTGGGTAAATAAATACCTTTGAGCGGTCTACGCGGTTTAAAGTTTAGGGTTCAAGGTTTAGGGATTAGGGTTTTGGGTTTTAGGGTTTGGAGCTTCAAGAAAATGACTACGGAAATCCCACAGGATGACTGTGCAGGGATCATCCTGAAACTGACACTTTCACATACCTTCAACCATGCACCCCTTCCACCCCCTGATGTGGACCCGTGAATAATAAACCCCGTTCTTTTAAGGGCCTTGACGTCACTATTCCTCTTATAATCGCCTCTTTTGGCCCTTTGTCCCGATGATCTGGCCCTTTGTCCATCTGTATCCTACCCAAACCCCGAAAGCAGGTAAAAACGTTGTCTTTGGGGCTATCTTTTCGGGTTTGGGGCCATGCTTCTACCTTGTATATCTCTTAACTGGTCGGAGCCGCTAGTTCTCTGGTGAGGTGAAAAATTCCAAGTAAGCCCGTCATCCACGCCGCAGGAGCTTTTGGATGAGAGCTGCATTCATTAAAAGCGGTCTGACTTGCTGTTGGGTCTTTGCATGGCTTAATTTGCTAGTTTTTTGGACATCATGCCAGCAACTCAGGGGTCCACCATTTCGAAAAACTCTTTATGCCAGCCATTGTGCAGCATTGGGCCAAGTTCTCAGGCCTGTGATGTTTGTGATGATTGACTGCCTCACACTGCGGAGCTCTTCCTGGCGATGGGGACAATGAAGAGGGAGGAGAGGTTGGAGAGGGAGGAGACGGAGGGCGGCAGTTGGCAAAGCTGGCTTGAAGCTCTGTTGGGGCATGAAACAACTCAAGCCTTTTGCATGCCGTCGGCGTGGTGGACAAAGCACGTGAAATCCAGGGGTCTTGTTCGTCACTGAACTTGCCCGGAATGTAGGATTCGTGCGCAAGGGCGCCGAAATCAGATTCCTTCCAAGACGGACCGACTCACACAACATTTGTTTGGGCATTGCATCACCGTTGCAACGAAAAAACCCGCGCACTCCAACTGGAACAATCGCGAGCTGCAAGCGGGTCCGACTTGCAGGGCCGCAGCTGACGGTAGAGCTCCATCAGACTCTGGCCCTCGTTCAAGTCCACAAAAGTTGACTTGACCTGTTCGTCGAAACTAGTTGATGCTAGATTGTCGGAAAACCACATTGAATTTTCAACAAGGCGCCACCACAGTGTGCGAGCTTGCCTTCCGCACATCGTACATTGATACACGAACCATTGTGTTTCCAATGCCAAATTAATCAGAGACTAGAAGCCAAACAACGGTGCACCTCCTCCATCTTTCCGTGACTTTGCTCTTCGGAACTTGAGCCGAATGACTTGAAGATAAGCGCTTGCGCTTTGAAATGTGTTACTCTTGTCGGCTCACTCACGACACATAGGGCCATTTCCTGTTTCTCATTCAAGGTTTTTGCTGGTTGTTTTTTGTTTTTCTCTGCTACTTTTCCGTTGCTTCGTCTTTATTCAAGATTGCATTTACACATCGGAGAGCCATATCCACGGCAATCTAAATCCAGAAGGCGTAACACATAGCACAGAACACACACCCAAGGACCAGTGATGGGCCTTGGGTGCCACAAATAGGCCGTCCTTGGTCTGTGATTGATGCACAAACTGGAAGATGGACCGCCAACCGAGCGTCAGGCTACGCGACATCTAAGCACAGAGCATCAGGCTACGAGACATCTATATATACCTAAAAATGCTCAGAGGAAAAACCCGGGGACGGGATTTGTGCTTTTGGGTCGCTTTCGGGTCGAAAAGCACAAAACCCGTGGACAGGATTTGTGCTTTTGGGTCGCTGTTGGGTCGAACAGCACGCAAGTTGGGCTCGAGAACGTCCCTCCCTCCGGTGAAATCGTGGGCTCAAGAAAGAGCCTCCCGTGAAATCATGTTTTCAAGTTGGGACGAGGAAGAGATTTTCCGGCAAAATCATGGGTCCGGGATTGTGCTTTTCCATACAAAATCAGAAACCCATTGATTTTCTGCTTTCCCACACAAAAAAAAACACAAAACCCGTCCACGGGCTTGGTGTTTTTGCGGGAAAAATCGGAAAAGGAACGCAAAGGAACTTTTCAAGTGGAAATCCACTTAGTGGGGAAGGCACTCCTGTTTTCCCGGTGTGGGAGAATAGAAGTTCTATTCTCCCACAGCAGGAATAAAGGAACGCCCGGAACTAGCCTAAACTGCTGCGGAGCGTCTTCAGCTTCTTGAATAAGACATTCCTTCCACACAAAAGACTTGTTCCACATAATCTAAATTCTTTCTTGAATATGACAGTCCCGCCTAAAATGCTGCGGGACATCTTCGGCTACTCCTCTGTGGCTTCTGTGCTTTTCTACATAAACGCACAAAACCCGTCCACTTGTTTTTGTGTTCTTCCACACAGCGGGACCAAGGGCCGTAACAAATCGTACTGCCTTCATTCTTACGGGCCCTGGTGTTATGAGCAGCCTTCCAAGTGGGGCAGGACAGGAAGTCTTCTGATCCATAGCTGACTTGGGCAATCTCGGATGTCTACATGTCTGCAGGACATGGCCAGCCTGAAATGCGCAACAGAACGTCGAAAGTCCAACTTCGGGCCCAACATCATCCCGTCAACGTGCTCACTGAAGAACGTGCCTTTATAGCTATAAGTCTAGAAAACGTTCTTCGCAGTGGTGCTATGTTGGTCTTGCCTAGAGAATACATCAGCCTTCACGGCAATTGGAGTCAACATGGGATTACGCAAATTACAACTATGGTGCCTACATCAGGTCCAAGGAAAAACGATTAGTAGACTTGGGTTAAAGCTTGCAGCGCACGCAACCATTGAAACATGGCTCCACGAGCGTGGCGGACTAGTAACTGTAGGATTGAGAAGTCTGAACTTGAAACTTAATACATGGAGTATGTGGTAATTACAGGCAGTTCACGAACGCAACTACTTCAGCGACTTTCAGCAGCTAGCTCTCTGAGACCGCCTCTTGTAAATATTCATGATGGGAGAAGCATCACGGCTTGACCGCAATGAATACCCTCGTGATCGCAGCTCCTCTAAGTTGTTCCATGCATGTCGGCTTTCCTATCGCTTCATGCCAGGGCCTGCTGAGACGAAGCTATTTGAAACACTCTCCACTGTCGACCCACTGTCTCCGCTTGAGGCCAGACGCAAAGGAGTCCCCTTTCCTGCTAGGAGCAGATCCCGCTTGAACTTACAGCAGCCCTAAGCTTCTCATATCCCAGGTGTTCGGAAGGCGTGTTGGCAGGGTATTTCCTCAAAGCTTGCGGGCAATCAGCACTGCAAAAAAAAAACAGAAGAGGTGTGGCAGGTGTGGTTGCCCGGCCATTTTCAGTCCATGCCATGGAAGCCGTCCACTGCTGCGGTCGCCGCTGCATTGACTGCAGATCCTCGGGCCTCACTGACCTGGCGCAGAAACGGTTTTTCGCCTTAAGCAAACACTTCACTTCGTTTCAGCTGTGATCCCCTTTTTCCTTCTTACTTCTGAGAGTTTGCACCTATTTTTGTCTTGGCCTCAGCCCTTCCGCTTCAGCCCATTTCAGCCCCTTGCGTGAGCTGCTCATCGCTGCTCATCTGCTCCGGCGTCGCCGGCCGTACGCGGGCTGTCGATTGTTTTGCCGAGTTTAGCGGAGCCCAAACGGGTGTCCCTTAGAAGCTGCTTCTTTTGGTGCAAATCGCACCTTCGATGTCTTCAGTTTCTTCAACATCAAGAGCCCGGCCTCCACGATCTCGGGGCCGTCCTCTCCGATCAAGGCCAAGTCCTCTTGAGCAGACGGAAAAAGACTAGCAAAGGAAGCAAAGAAAAGAAGCAAAGCAAAGGTGCAAAGCTCGAGAAGGTGCCTCTGCAGACAAGCCGAACTTCTCCTCTACCAACTGCCTCAGAGAGATCAGATGACAAGGAGTGCATGCCGGAACCCCCCCCAGTTGCGCCGTAGCTTGCCGCAGCGTTTCCTCAGCTTCGGTGATGCCTCCACCAGCACCACAAATTCAAACCAAAATCACGGCTGCTCGAGAGAGTGAGAGGAAACAGCGAGGATGTGGCAGAAGTCACTCTTTCACACTGCGCTTTAGTTTGGCAAGTTGCGAAAGCCTTTTTTGGTCAGCTGCCCTGAAGGCACACATTCTGCGTGCCAGGCTGGTCTACATGTTCTGTTCATGCCAAGTGCAGAGTTCGGATCAACTAGAGATCTCACAGATCAAGCTTCAGCAGCTTCAGCCTGCTGTCATGTGCTTCAGCCTTCTGTGCCGAGGCCCGCAGCGCCTTCTTTGCGGCTCTTAGGCCCTTGCCGCTTGGACCAACGAGCCATTGCGATCCCTTGCGCTTGGAGCCCCTTCGCGTCGTGTCCGATTTGCACAGTTCTCTTTCCGCAGGCGGCACAGCTCAGCCACTGCTCAAAAACATGCACCAGCCATACGCCAGCTGGGCAGTGCATGGGGGCCTTTGCTTTCGACTCTGGCATGGCACGCGCAAGGCACAAGACGTAGCACAAGCAAGCGATCTTCAGCAAAATGCTGCACAAGCCACAGCGCATTGAACAGCCTAGCACCTTTGCCTCTTCACAGATCTCCAAAAGGGAGAGGGTGCAACTCCCAAGAAAATTGTCCTGGCTCTGCACTCAGCGCACAGGACTCTATCTTGTGATGCATGTACCGGGGTCAGTCTTTTCAATCCTCTTGGATTATGCTGGAGATCCTGATGGCCCCTACAAACAAGCTGGAGCGCTTCTTTGGACTGACATGAAGGCTGTGGGGAGGGAGACTTCAACACGAAAAGCACTGCGGTCATTGGCCCGTATCCAGAAGTCGGAGCAGGGCAAAGAGAGAGCAACAAAGGGCCACGCCTGCATTTCTACCCATGCTGTGGGGAAGTGTTTGTTGACTGAGCCCGGCTCAGCCCGGTGTGGGGTTTGCTGCAAGTTGATCGCGGAGCCTTCTTAGTAGCACCGCGCTTTTCGGCAGATTGGAAGTTGATGAGCATGTTTGTAGCTCCGCCTGAGCTCTGCCTAAATTGCTCATCCACTTCTTGAACGCGCCCCTTAAGCCGCACAGAACAGAGGTTCGACTCGCTTGGTCATGGGTCCTTCGTCAGATCATCTCCGAAGAGGTCAGAGGGTGCCTCGGGAAAGATGGCGGCAGCAGCTTGCTGCTGCTACTGCTAGCGCTGGTGTCCATGACTCTATGACCACTTACTAGAACTTGCGCCTGGCTCAACTGGGCGAAGAAAGCCCGCAGCAGCTCCGCGTAGAATCTGGCTCTTGAAGGAAATTCGAAGTGAAAGATTTCCAGGCAACTCACAGGCAACTTAGCCAAGACTGTCAAGGCTCCCGCTCAGAGCGCCGCTGAGCGGCCTCCTCACAGCTGCAGAGCAGCTGCAACAGAACCCGCCACCTCTGATGAGTCAAATATCTCTTTTGCGGTTTTGTTTCAGCTCAGTATGCTGTGCAATACAGCTATTGAAGATTCTCAAGACAGTATGTACTCTACTCCTGCGGTGCCAATGCTGTATCTTATAGCTGTTGGAGTTCTTCTATGGCTTTGGATATGTAAACCTATAGATCTTTACAAGGGCACGACATTCAAGCGAATTGTGAGTAAGCCTATAACGGTAGGATAGCGTGCTGTAACCTTGGTGGCAATCCGTCCAACGTCGCGTGGGGTCGTAGGCAAGGCTGTAAATGGACTTGCTTATGCGAGATCGTGAGGTGCCATGCCGATAGGCCTCAGGAATCATACCTTGAGATGACCTCTCAAATTATGCATCGCTCATGGGTTCTAGACAAGCTTACCGTTGTGAAGCCCCCATGTTACAAGTAACACACTGAACCAACGGCGTCCCAACGAAACATGGTTCCATGAGGAGTTCCAATAGTCGACATGCCTATACTCATGGGCTCACCCCATGAGTTCACTCCATGAACACAAACTTTGCCGTTGAGCTCAACTACACCATGAGCACCAAATTCCAGACCCAACAAAATACCTGGAAAAGCTAGGATTGCATAGGTCGATTCCTTTACAGTGTCGTCTACTGCTTGAACGTCTCTTGGTTCCCGGCTGATCGAAGCCATCTGCATTTTGGCCTAAGAGGAAAGCAATGTAAGCCAGCTGGAGCTCCTGCAAACAGCATCCCTTCAAGTTCATCCCTTGCAAAAAAGATCAAAAAGTCCGGTCCCCGAGCATGGCCAGCTCGTCGCCCGGGTATTCTTTCGCCAGTAATTCCTTTGAAATGAGAGCTTTACCGTAACTCTGCATCTCTGCTCGGCTCTCCCGCTCTCGCCCGCTCTCGGCGCCTCCAGCTGGGCTGTCCGGTCCATGTGCAACCTCAGAGTTCAGGAGACGACCGTCCAGACTTTACCTGAAACCTACCCTAAATCCTCCTGCAATGTTTTTCAGAAGGTTCCCAGCTCTGCCAGCTATGCTCGGAGCCGGGCCTCGTGGTCTCGGCGGCCGTGCGGGCCTTGCGCACACGGGGCACCACGGAGAAGAAGAGCGATCCTGGCAGACGCAGCCAGCACCAGACGAAGCAGCAGCTTCGCCGCGATGTGCCGAGGGCGCTGCCGTTCGACTCCATGTCCTCTCCTTTCCTGAGGGTTTTTTTCTGGGCAGTCGCTGGCTCTCCACCTTTCTTCAAGTCTCCCCTCGGCCCCTTGTTGCCTTTGCTGCTCGCAGCCTGATTCAACCTGCGGCCCAGCCCTGCGAGCCCTGCTCCATCTGCAACTGCGCGGCAGGCCTCGTGGCTGGCGCTTTGCGGGGGAGCCTGAAGCTGCTCATGCATGCATTGCATGCATTGCATTCGAAATTAGCAGCCCTCAACTCCGCGGCCCTGCCCTGCGGCCCGCATTCGAAATTAGCAGCCCTCAACTCCGCGGCCCTGCCCTGCGGCCCTTCCTCCTGCCGAGGGGCCGCGGTGTCGTACTCGCTGCGCTTGGAGCGGACTCGACCCGAGACCGGCTCGACCTTTGAAACCAACTCTGCTGTAGCCTCAGTGCAGACCGCTCAGCTGGGCATAGATGAACTTGGGTGCAAGGCATGTCTTGTGAGCTCGCCCCACTGCTCCTGCAGCTCCAGGGGATAAGGGCCTCGTGCAAGATTGAGCTGCGCCTTTGAGCTCACCAGCCCGGAGCTCCGAGCCCCGACGCCCTGACGAGCTCCCTGCCAAGGTTCCGGTCGAAGTCAAAGCTGCGGGCACCGTCTGCATATCGAAACTCCTCATCTGGGCCTCAAAAACCGAGGAAGGCGGTTGAGGCGGTAGCATGCGCTAAGGGAAGTCGCTTTCTCGGTGCAGGGCTAGGCCTGGTCAGCTCCTTAAAGAGGCACAGAAAGAGTGCTCCACACCCCTCATGGACCCTCCTTTCATGCTTTCCGCCCTTTCTGCCCTTTCCTTTCTGCCCCTTCTCAGAACTTTCCTGGCTTCGGCATGAAGTTCTCATGAACCCCAGACGAGCCTCTGCTTCAGGATCCCAGCGGAACACCGACACGTCCCTTGGCCTCGGCGCATGCGGCAAACTGCGACACTCCCTTCCCGTGCTCTTCCTTGCTCTTTCTCTCTTTCTCTCTTTCTCTGGCCTCAGATAAAGGAAGAAGCCCGTGCGGCTTATGCCAATGTCTTCGTGGGCGCCTGCTCAGACTGAGTGCGAACCCCCCCCTGATTTCAGAGGTGCATCCCACAGTAGCGAGGCCCCCGCGTGCACTGCAGTAAACGTAATGGAGTCCCGGTGGGATCAGCTTCACCCCCATGAACCTTTGAGGAAGATTCGGCTCACTTCTACACTTCGTGTCGCCAGGATTCGCCAGGCAGCTTTGGACCGACCGACCAGGCCGCGTAGTCCAGGCCAAACAGCATGCCTCGAGAAACGTTCCAAAAGCCGAAGGCATTCCAAACAGCCTTCTCCTCACTTTTCTTGCCTTCAGGGCAACCAAGACAAAGGACTGTGGCACCATTTTCTGCAAGCCTCTGGACCTGCAGAAAGACACAAAGAAAGCCTGTCTCCACATCTCTTCAAGGCTGGCATGGGTAGCTGGTGTGGAGATCCGGGTGAGAGTACTTGCCGCCTGCTAGAAGTGCCTAAGGATACCCCTGCCTTGCCTTGGCCTGAATTAAGGATCTCTTTCCTGCCTTGCAAGCAATGCAACTTTGAGTCGGTTTCTGTGGGCCTCGTCGGTGCGGGCGGGTGCCTTGCAACTTGAAAAGCAGCGTAGAGACAAGGCTTTACACATGAATCGTGCAGAAAGTCCAAATCTCTTTCTGCCTGCTCGCAATTGGTCCCCCCAGCGCACAGCGTTTCTGCGGGGAAAAGAGCGGATTGGCTTTCTCCCTTTCGGGTGAAAGCGGGTGAAAATGGCATCCGAATTCGGTTTAAACATTCCTTGCAAGCCCCTTCAGCATGCCAGGGCTCAGGGCTCTTCACTTGGCTTCAATCTTGGAGGCCGCCAAGAAGGCTTCCAGCGTGGTGATGCCCATCCCCTCTCAAGCAGATGTGCTTTCAATCACAGGCAAGCTAGGCGCATGCAGCAGCCGGCTGGCGCCTGCGGAGCCCTTGTCTTGTCCAAGTCCTGGGGCAGGATGAAATGGTTCCACCACAAGAGCACAGAGCAGATTTACATGGTTTGCATGGCTTCGCTTCACGCCTTGCCCGTCATCTTGCCCTCTGGACCTAAGATCTCCAGGCCGATGCACTCCTGTCCCCACTTCATCACCTGTACAGGAAAGGAAGGTTGCAAGTTGCAAGCAAGCTCTATATGAAGGCCTTGTCAATGGTCGGTGTGTCCAAGCCCAAGATCTCAGCTAAACCTTTTGCGAAGCAAAGCCCGGTAGGGATGTCCTCTGCGAGGTAGCGGTACTTCAGATCTGCAAGCGAAGGCGGTTCAACGGTTCAACGCGACCAGGCATGGCGGGCCTGGCATGAACTTGCCGTCCACCTCCTTTTCGGGGCAAAAAGCAGCACTCTTAAACACGGGGGGAGGGCTCATTTTGGAACACAAATTGGCATCCAGCCACAAAGTTGGGCACTTAAGGGGTAGCACAGCGAAGCACACAGAAGTCTTTTCCTTATGGCGCGAGAGGAATTCTCAACTTCTACTCACAGAAAGAAAGACCTGCAATGTCGCTATTAGTACACTGCAACTGAAACTAACAATGTAAATATGACCTCTGTACCAACTGATGAACTTCACTAATGTGATACGAGATGGCTACAAGCACATGTAATGTTTACACATGCTGCGTACGCATCCTGTTCATGTACAAGCAGAAACCACAGAAACCGTAGAAATCATGGAAACCATGGAAACCGTAGAAACCATGGAAAGCATAGTAGAAACCGTAGAAACCATGGAGACCATATAAACCATAAATACAATATAATGGAAATTATGGAAAGCACGCAAACCCTGGAAACTGTGGTGACAGCCACGGATCCGCGTTCCAGATTGAAACCACCTCCCCTCAAAAACGACATGCGTCCTTGCAGGGATGCTTGAGGCCGTCGTAGGCGGCATTGGTGTTCATGCAGGCCTCACATTGCATTCATCGAATCGATGTATCTGCCAGGGGTAGCACCTTGAGCGAGGAAGTGTCTTTCATCTGCCCATCATAACCTCAAGGAGGGGCAGGCCACAGAAAGTACTGCAGGTGCCACAGAGGCGCGCACAATCGAGGTACCACTGTTTCAACGTGCAGGCATCCTGCAGAAAAACAAGCCACTGGACAGCAGAGATCTCTGCGCCGGCGCCGGCGCGCCTTCATGTCCACCATGGCCACTTCCTGAGCAGAGCAGAATAGGTGTTCTTTTGAGGCTCAACGCTGGCTTCTTGGCATCTTCTGGCCTCCATCTTGCGGCACACGAGCTGCACCTCATCCGTCATTCCAAGAAGTACCTGAAGCAGAATTTCCCCGCCGCGCCCCCCGCTCTGGAGAAACTCAACAGCCGTGCCCCTGGGCCTTCTCTGTGAACTCGTCGACTCCCTTTTTTGCTTCAATTTGACTTGTGAGTATTCTGAATTCCGACCGAAATGCCTGGTAGAAGAGCGGTGCTTCGTCCTTGGGCTGCCCGTCCCAGGCCTCCGAGCTCCAGCGCCTCAGGCCGCAGCGCAGCGACAGCCACTCCGTACACCCAGTAGACTCCCAGTACACTCCCAGTAGACTCAGCACAGCGAAGCTGTGGGCAAGCCGCCCGTACATCACCCCCGGGTGCACCTCGAGTTCAGAGGACGCGACTCAAAAAGGAAGAAGCGTTGAAGAGAAAGAGAGGCTCTTTTTTTTTCAAAGTTGATTTTGTTCCTTTTTCAGCTGCTCAGGCTGCAGCGATCATGCCAGGGTTCCGCAGGCTGATGCCTCGAATTCAAAGCATCGAATCGCATCCCTTTTCACAAAGTTTTGACATGAGTGGTTTTTTCATGTTTTGAGGCCAGGGCCGAGGTTGTTGGGGCTTTCTTGTACCAAGGGGTTCACCCCCAAGAGTCCTTGCGCTCAGCACTCTCTGCCTCTATGCACTCGGCCAAATGCGAATGCAGCACACAGTTCCACATGCTTTCAGGTTGTCCGCCTTGCAGTTTGGCCAAGGCCTTCGTGGCCGATGCAGGCGTCACCGCCTTCGAAGGCCGCGAAGCCGCTAAGTTTCTCCGCTTCCGCGGCCAAGGCGTGCTCTGCGTGTTGTAGGCATGTGGGACCCATGTAGCAAGCGTGCTCTGCTGATCTCTGGTGCTTTCTCAGGGACTTCACTCGCACCACACCCGCACCACACAGCAACAGTGCACTGCTGCCAGGAGACTGCGAGGATGTTGTTCTTGGTGCCTCGAGTAATAGGGAGCCGGAGTCGAATGGGAACAGAAGCGGTTACGGAAGGAAAACAAAGATCTCAACAAAGACAAAACTGAGAACAACAACAAAGACAACAATCAGCAATGGCAAATGACGACGACATTGACGAGGAGGTGGTGATGGTAACAGCCGTTTCTTCAAAAGGCAGATGACTGCCTAGATTGACCAGTAGATGCTGACATTAAATGAATCATGCAGCTTGACGCTCGCAAGTCGTGAATACACAGGCTGATGCGGATGTAGCGTTGCAAGTATGACCGTTTTGGCAGCAGCTGGTGGATGTATAGATGACAGAGCTATGCCGGCAACATGACAGCTTATGTTGGTCCAGGAGAAGGGTTTGGGACGGGACTGCCAGGCCCAGGCAGCAGATAATAAACAAAGACGATATACGACAGACGGAGTGGTGCTCCCATGACACCTGCGCGAGATGACAGAGACACACGCTGTGTCTTTGTGATGATTATTACGATGGAACAGGCTGATCGAACATGAAGCGAATGCTGCTGCTGCCGCTGATGATGATGATGATGATGATGATGATGACGCTGACGCTTGAAAATGACAAAGACAATGACACTAGCAATGACGACAACTATGACCATGATGGTGGTGGCGGTGGTGGTCGTGGTGCTGCTGAGGATGAGGATGAGGATGAGGATGGTGAGGATGATGATGATGATGACGATGATGATGATGATGATGATGATGCTGAGAGTGATGATTCAGTGATGATTTCGATATGGTCAATGGCAAATATAACCTTGATGAATGCTTGATACAGCTGCTCAAGTAGGAGAGGTGATCAAAGGCGCGTCACGGTAGCTGGTTCATGTAGGGGTTGGTGGATGCGAAGCAGCAGATGATGAACAACAGTCACCCGCAGCACACGGCAAATGATAAGCCCTGCACGCGCGGAAGATAATGATTGGATGATCAAAGGTGGGATATATCGGCAGCAAAAGCAGACAGGGAACAATAGATCACCCATGACATGTCATGGATCAGGCTGACGCCTGTGGCAGGTTTCGACAATGAAGCGCATTGCAACATGGCGGAGGGCGCTGATGCTGGTGCTGATGTTCAGCTCAGAGCGAAGTTTCACTCGAGAGGTCAGGCTGATGCTTTTGACAGTGAGCAGGAAGATTGAAGATGAGGTAAACGTTGATGATGCTGGTGATGATGCTCTTCCTGCGCATGAATGACTATGGCTCAAGTCTGTGAAGAAACTGCACGGTGTGGCACTTGCAGGGTTTTGGGTTTGACTTCCTTACCCCACCCCTAATCTTCTGCGTAGCTTCAGGGTGAGGTGAAGGGCAGGGTTCAGGCCAGGAGGCGAGGTACTCTTTGGGTGATGTTGACTTCGGAGCCTGATGTGACGTCTTCGTAGGAATGCCAACCTCTAATTATGATCCTCTAGATGATGTACCTCTTAGTATTAGACAGTCTATGGCTAATCACGGATAGTATGACCCCCGAAGGGCCCCAGCAATCACAGGTGATGAGCCCAAACGCTCACATGCAAGCATCTACACCACTGATCATTCAAGCTGCAGCCGCTACAGCAGACCAGGTTCAGCTTCGATTTCAGCAGATGCTGCAGATTCAAGCACCAGCAGACCTTGTGAGGATGTTGCATGCTGGACAAGTGGTTAATTCAGAAGCGAAAACCGTCAAAGATGTCCAGAATAACGTTCATCGCGTTGCTACTGAGCTTGAAAACCGGACGGAGAGGTTAGCTTCATGTCTGTCGAGTTTGACAAGTGATATGGAAACCTTGCGTCTGCAATCAGAGCAGCTGTACAAAACGGCCAACGAGCATCATGGTTTTTTGAAGAACGCCGATAGCAAGCTTTCGGACCTATTCAATCGACTATTGCAGTTGGAAAATGCTGTTACTCAGTTGTCTCGCTGTCAGGTTACTTTTGAATCGTCCATTCAAGCACGTTTGGAGATTCTTGAGCACGAATCCACAAATCTGCAGACCCTCAGTTCTACAACGGACGCGTTGAATGGCGAGGTGGCCTCGATGAAGGCCACTTTGTCCAGACTGGAGGCTACGCAGAATGATCAAGAAGGACGCGCGCGAAATCGATATGATGAGATTGTGAAGTCCATGTTGAGTGGACAAGAGAAGTCCAGCGATTTAGACACCAGGTTGAAGCTAGCCATGGAGCGCATTGTTGGAAGTGAAAGGTTGCGTGAGAAGCTTAGAAAGGCGGATGCCGACCTTGAAACGCAAATTCAACAATTGAAACGCCACATTGGCGATGAGTCGCAGCAGCAGCAGCAAGCAGCAGCGTCAAGTGATTCTTCCCAGAGTGATGCGCCGAAAACCCCAAAGGCTAGCAAGAAGCCAGTGGAGTTTAAGATGACTCCGCAGATGGATGACGTGACATGGCAGATCGATCAAACAGCTGGGTGGTACGATGATGGTGAAGCTGAGAGCGTGGAGACGCACCCGAAGATCGGCATCACTACTTCTCCGCCTGGCTTGCCGAAACATTTGAAGAAGACCGTCGAGGTTCCGCAGTCATCCTGGAAGCTATTGAAGGACATGCCTAAGTTGAATGCAAATGCAACGGAGGCGTGGGAGAGAGGAGTAGCGTTCAGGCAGTGGACAACCGAGATGGCAGCGATTTCAGAAGCCATTCACCCTTCTTTTGCTGAGTATTTCAGAAATAAGTTGGATGAGGGGCGAATCCGATATGAGAAGCGCTTGGAACAGGGTTTCGATGAGCCGCCTCCGGCTGTTAGGCCAGAGGATCGGGAGCTGGAGACAAGGCTTTCATTGGCGTTACTTAAGATCCTTCCGGCGAAGATGAAGACTCATGCTTTTGAGCGTGGGAATACTTTGGACGGCATTAGCGTGGCCGCTCTTCTTGAGGCCATTTATGAGCAGATGACACCCGGGGGAATCAGGGAGAAAAATTCTCTGCTTCAGTACTTGAGATCGCCACCCGCATCCAATACTGGAGAGGAGCTCACTGCTACTCTCAGGCGTTATCGTCTTGCCCAGCAACGAGCCAAGCATCTTGATATTCCGCAGCAGGCAGCCCATGAAACCATTGCAGCACTTGACGTGATGGTCAGGCCACTGGAACGCAAGCATCAACCTCTTAGCGTTCGTCTGGGAATACTCAGGTTGCAATCCAACATCCAGATCCCCACCATTGATGGTGTGGAATTGTACCTCAAAATCTTGGAGGCCTAGGCCATCAAGTTGCAAGCAGATGACGTGTCCAAGCCAAAGAACGCCAAGGCAGACTCTGAGGAGTACCACATTCCCAATGCCAATCAAGCCGCAGCAGGAGGCAAGGGTGGATCCAGGCTTTGTGCCTATTTCAATACGGCCAGGGGTTGTTTGAAGGGGGCTGAGTGTGAATTTCGCCATGAGACCGCGGGCACTGGTAAAGGTGCCCAAGGAAGTGAGAAAGGCGGTGGGAAGGCTGGTGAGCCAAAGGGTAAACCTAAAGCAGCAGCAAAGGCAGAAGCTAAAGCAGAAGCCAAAGCAGCAGCAAAGGCGCAGGCAAAGGCAGCAACGGAAGCAGCAATCGCAGCAGAGGCAAAAGCCGAAGCGAAGCGCAAGGCCAAGGCGGACAAGAAAGCAGCCAAAGCTGCAGCGAAAGCAGCAGCGGCGGCGACATCATCCACAACGGCCACGGCAGCCACCATCGTTGAAGATGCTATTCCCTTTCTGGCTGGAGCATCTCCAAATGCGTCATCGTCGGATCATGTCCCACGAGCTTCCATGGCCCATCAGGACGCAGAATCCGAGATTGACTTTGAGGAGGAGACTGAGGTGGTCAGCTTAGTGGGAGCAGATTTTGCAGAGGATGAGGGCCTCAATAGTAATGACAATCGTGGCGTTTCGGACGTGGAAGGGATTCAGATGCATGCAGAGGCTAGCACACCAGAGTGGTCGGATGTGGAACAAGGACAGTTTCCCAGCCCGGCTACTATGCCACGTTCGGATAGTGAGGTTGAGCTGATTGGTTTGAGAGAGCCTCCTGCCCCGCTTTGGGTTTTGAACTTGACACTGAGTGACTACGTGGCATGGACGCGTCAAGGACATGTACAATCGTATGCCCATAGCGTCTTTGAGCAGGAGATCAATCCAAATTCCATCATGTGGCCCACGTGGTGGACTATAGCAGCTGACCAACTGAGCGACGACGAGGATGGAACCATCTACGTGGTGGACGAGGTGTGCATGCTGCGATGCACGACGACCATGGTTCTGTTCGAGGATGGGATCATCAGACCAGTTTTCGTGGTATGGCTTCTTGAAAAGGTGTCCGGAAGAGAGAGAATGGCAGCTTTGATCCGAGAGCAGTCCAGGCCCATCGTCCGGCCTTGGCCTGCGCAGGAGTTGAGCAAGGCGGCTCCACCAAAGACCAAAGGATGGCCCAAGGCAAAGATGCCTACTGCGCCAACCCGCAAGGGTACATTTGGTGATGCTGCACATGCGTACGTGCATGCAGAGAAAGCTTCGTCAT